ACACACACACACACACACACACACACACACAGACACACAGACGAAGCCCTAGGGTTGTCAGGACGGTTGGTCCTGGCTCTCCTCCGCCGGCATCTGTTCCTGGAGGCTTCAGGGGAAGGGGCGGACACGATCATGCCTCGGGCAGGCTGGGCTGTGATGGGAGGGACGCCTCAGAGAGCCACCGCCCTGAAGGGCTGGCAGGAGAGGTGTTAGGAGCCCAGACCCCGCTCCCGGCCTGTGGGGCACCAGGGAGGACACCTTCCCCTGAGATCAAACACAGCAGGACTGAGAGCGGCCCATAAAGGCACCGCTCCGCGGCTGTCATTACCACACCCCTGTCATTAGGGCCCGCCCTGGGCAGTGTCTTGCTCTCGGGCAGGGCCCCCTGGCTCCCCGCAGCTGCCCCCTGAGGCCGTCCCTGCCCACAGGCTTGTCCTGGGAGGAGTGTAAGCAGCGCTGCCCCCCTGGTGTCGTGCCCGCCTGCCACAACTCTGAGGACACAGTGACCATCTCGGGACCGCAGGTGGGGCCTAGGAGGCGAGGCTTGTCCCCAAGTCCCTTCTCCGTCGCTCGGGCGACCTGGGGGGACAGCCCAGATCCACTCGTCCAGCCCCCTGACATCTCCGTCCCTAGGCTGAGGTGGCTGCATTCGTGGCGGAGCTGAAGCAGGAGGGTGTGTTTGCCAAGGAGGTGCGGACGGGCGGCATGGCCTTCCACTCCTACTTCATGGACTCCATCGCCCCCACGTTGCTTCAGGCCCTCAAGAAGGTGGGCTGGCCACCCTTGGGCGCCCCGGAGGCGGGGGCTCCCGGAGGCAGGGCAGCAGGGGCCTGACCCATGTCCTGTGCATAGGTGATCCGGGAGCCGCGGCCCCGCTCGGCACGCTGGCTCAGTACCTCCATCCCCGAGGCCCAGTGGCAGGGCAGCCTGGCCCGCACGTTCTCGGCAGAGTATAACGTCAACAATCTGGTGAGCCCCGTGCTGTTCCAGGAGGCGCTGTGGCACGTGCCCGGGGACGCTGTGGTGTTGGAGATCGCCCCCCATGCCCTGCTGCAGGTGCGCACTGGTGGGCACCGGGGTGAGGGCAGCAGTCTTGGCGCGTTGGGGCCAGTGGCCAAGAGAAGCCGATGGTCTGGGCCCGGGGGCAGGGGGACCCAGTCAGGAAGGCCAAGCCCATCTGCTGGGCCCGGGGGTCAGCGGGGGACCGAGTCAGGAAGGCCAAGCCCGTCTGCTCTCCCAGGCCGTCCTCAAGAGAGGCCTGAAGTCCAGCTGTACCATCGTCCCTCTGATGAAGAAGGACCAAAGAGACAACCTGGAGTTCTTCCTCAGCAACGTGGGCAAGTTGCACCTGCTGGGGTGAGTCAGCTGCCCCTGCTGGGGGACCGGGGGTCTGGGCGGGGGTGCGTCCATTCCAGGCTTGTCCCCGATAACAAGGTGTGTTAACCAGGCCGCAGAGGGAGGTCTTCCCCGGGAAGTGGGCTGGCAGGTGCTGAGCCCTCGCCCTACCCTGGCCTTGCCCCGGGTCTTCTGGGAGACGGTTGGCCGTGGGGAGGACAAGGTAGCCCCAAGCAAGGCCACCTGGGCTGGGCGAGCCCCTCAAACCTTTCCCCCACCCCCAGCTTCGACGTCAACCCCAACGGCCTGCTTCCACCCGTGGAGTTCCCGGTGCCCCGGGGCACTCCTCTCATCTCCCCTCACATCAAGTGGGACCACAGTCAGACCTGGGACGTCCCCACCACCAAGGACTTCCCCAGCGGCTCCAGTGGCTCCTCTGCCTCCACCGTCTGCAACATCAGTGAGTCGGGGCTGAGGTGGGGCGGGGGGGGGGCGGGGGTGCTCCCTCCTGGGCACCGGCACTAAGGCCCAGCCCACGCAGGCATCAGCCCTGAGTCCCCTGACCACTACCTGGTGGACCACTGCATCGACGGCCGCGTCCTCTTCCCCGCCACCGGCTACCTGTGCCTGGTCTGGAAGACTCTGGCACGGACCTTGAGTCAAAACGTGGAACAAGTACCCGTGGTGTTTGAGGACGTGACCCTGCACCAGGCTACCGTCCTACCCAAGACCGGTGAGATGGGCTGGCCGCCAGGGCCGGGGTGGGAGGGCTGGCCGCTGACCCCCGCCGCTGATCTCCCACCTTGCCGTCCCTAGGGACCGTGCCCCTGGAAGTGCGGCTCCTACAGGCTTCCCGCACCTTCGAGGTGTCTGAGAACGGCAACCTGATAGTGAGCGGTGAGCAGATAGATGGTGCCTGGCCCGGCTGCAGGGTCTCCACTGGGCTTGGCCTCCGAGGGGACCCTTGGCTGCCAGCTCCACTCCACCCGCCCACAGGCTCTCCGGTCCCCTTCTGTAGGGAAGGTTTACCAGTGGGAGGACCCCGACACCAAGCTGTTCGACAGCCCGGACGGCCTGGACACCACGGACCCCACAGCTACGTTCCACCTGAGCCAGAGGGACGTGTACAAAGAGTTGAGGCTGCGTGGCTACGACTATGGCCCTCACTTTCAAGGCATCCTCGAGGCCAACCTCGAAGGTAGGGTGCCAGGTCCCCCCCTCGACACTCCAGGAACGGGCCCCAGGGCCACCTCCCTTAGGGCCGGACCAAGCCTGACCTGCCACCCGGCATCCAGGTGCCCAAGCCGCGTGGAGAGAGGGCCGTTCTGGGTGTGAGGGGCCACCAAGGGCGCCTGGGTCAAGGCGTGCGGGGGAGAGGGTGCCACGAGCCTGAGGCCCGCCCAGCCAAGCTGACGGCCCCTCTCCACAGGCAACGCGGGCCGGCTGCTGTGGAAGAACAACTGGGTGACGTTCCTGGACGCCATGCTGCAGACATCCATCCTGGGCCTGGCCCAGTGCGGCCTGCGTCTGCCCACCCGCATCACCTCCGTCCGCATCGACCCTGCCACCCACCAGCGCAGGGTGTACTCGCAGGGCGAGGCCCAAGGTAGCCTCACGCCCCAGTGCCCGCACCCCCGTGTCCCTGCACTGGGCACTGCCCGTGCTCACTCAGCCTTTCTCCGCAGCGGTCAACGTGCTGGTGAACAGTTGTCTGAACAGCACGGTGGCCGGCGGCGTCCTCGTCTCGGGCCTCCACGCCTCGATGGCCCCACGGCGGCAGCAGGAGCAGTTTGCGCCCATCCTGGAGAAGTTCTGCTTCACGCCGCACACGGAGGAGGGGCTCCTGGCTGGAGACGCGGCCCTGCAGGAGGGGCTGCAGCTGTGCAGGGGTGAGGCCCAGCCCCCCACCGGGACCCGCCGTGGCTTGCCACCTCCTGCTCCCCAGGGGCCTCGACTTGCCTCCTCGAGAGGCTCCCGGACTTCAGGGAGAGCACAGGGAGCCAGGATGGATTCGGGCCACCCCCACCCCAGCTGTGTCCCGGCCAGCCGCCTGGGTGTGATGCCCACGCCGGGGCCCGGCCCCACAGCCCACCCCCTGTGGAGTGCTCGCACCCATGCAGATAGCTGGGGGGTGGTTGGTGGGGGTCTGGGCGCAGCTGGGGAGGTCAGGGTCCCGAGGCCACTCTCTGTGGGGCTCACACCTCGATGGGGAGCACATCCCCCTTGAACCCCTCTGGAGGCTAGCTCCTAGCCCTAGAGGGCCGGACTGCCCAGGCAGTGGGCGTTTGCTGTGGGGGCGGGGGGAGGGGGCTCGGGGAACACCGGCCCAGCTGAGACCCCTGTGCGGTGCCCGTCCCTCCCCAGGGCTGGCACAGGCGCTGCAGACCAAGGTGGCCCAGCAGGGGCTGAAGATGGTGGTGTCCGGGCTGGACGGGGCCCAGGCCCCCCAGGAGCCTCCAAAGCAAGGCCTGCCCCGGCTGCTGGCGGCCGCCTGCCAGCTACAGCTCAACGGCGGCCTCCAGCTGGAGCTGGGCCAGCTGCTGGCCCAACAGAGGCCCCTGCTGCAGGACGACCCCCTGCTCAGCGGCCTCCTCGCTTCCCCGGCGCTCAAGGCCTGTGTGGACACCGCCCTGGAGAACATGCCCAGCCTCAAGATGAAGATCGTGGAGGTGGGTGCCCATCCGGACGGTCCAGCATAACGTGTGCGGGCCCAGGCTGGGCAGACCAGACCGGTCCGCGAGCTCGCCCGGTCGGAGGCCGTGCTGCCCTTCCGTCCTTTGCCATCCTGCCCCGAGCGCCGAGCAGCGGGCTCGGAGAGGGGATTCCGTGGACGCGGCAGACGGGGCTGACGCTAGCTGGCGGTCTCCTGGGCCAGGTCGGCGGGTGGGCCCTTCTGGCAGACGTCACCGGCCTGCGTCGGGACGCCTGCCTGGTGGCGGCCGATCCAGGAAGCTGTCCCCACCTCCAGGTGCTGGCTGGCGATGGCCACCTGTATTCTCACATCCCGGCGCTGCTCAACACCCAGCCCATGCTGCAGCTGGAGTACACGGCCACTGACCGCCACCCTCAGGCCCTGGAGGCCGTGCAGGCCAAGCTGCAGCAGCACGGCATAGCCCAGGGCCAGTGGGACCCTGCGGACCCCGCCCCTGGCGGCCTGGGCTCGGCTGATCTCCTCCTGTGTAACTGTGCCGTGGCCAGCCTCGGTGACCCGGCCACGGCCGTTGGCAACATGGGGGCCGCTCTCAAGGAGGGCGGCTTCCTGCTGCTGCACGCTCTGCTCAAAGGACACCCCCTTGGAGAGACGGTCGCCTTCCTCACCTGCCCCGAGCCGCGGCGAGGCCAGCAGAGCCTCCTAAGCCAGGTGCAGGGGTGGGGCGGGGACGGGAGGCCGGGGGGTGGGGCTGGGGGGCGGGGCAAGCACTGACTGCTCCCCCCACGTGCAGGACGAGTGGGAGAGTCTGTTTGCCGGGGCGTCCCTGCACCTGGTGGCCCTGAAGAAGTCCTTCTATGGCTCTGTGCTCTTCCTGTGCCGTCGGCCGGTCCTACGGGACAGCCCTGTCTTCCTGCCTGTGGAGGACCCCAGTTTCCAGTGGGTGAACTCCCTGAAGGTCAGTCTCGGCTGGGCCCCCCAGCACCACGTGCCTGGGCCTGGGGACCCTCCCGGAGGCCAACCCCTCTGTCATCCCGCAGAACATTTTGGCCGACTCCTCCCAGCAGCCCGTGTGGCTAACAGCCATCAGCTGCCCCGACTCAGGCGTCGTGGGCTTGGTGAACTGTCTCCGCAGAGAGCCTGGCGGGCACCGGATTCGGTGAGGGGCTCGACACAGCTGCACGCCCTCTGCCCTCCTTCACCTTCCTGGTGCCCCCCCAACCCCACCCCACGCAGCCTTGTCTCACCTGTGCGGCTGCCCACAGGTGCGTCCTGGTGTCCAACCTCAGCAGCACGTCCCGCACCCCCAGTTTGGACCCCGGCTCCTCGGAGCTGCAGAAGGTCCTACGGGGGGACCTCGTGATGAATGTCTACCGAGACGGCGCCTGGGGGGCCTTCCGCCATTTCCCCCTGGAGCGCGGTGAGTCTCCCCACCCCCGGCTCCTTGCCTTGTAGCGGGGTGGGCTGAGGAGGATGGGGGGGCTGGAGACCCTGCCTGGGAAGCCCCCGTGGCAGCCCCGCCTCCTGTCACCCCCAGGCCTGCCGGAGGAGCAGACCGAGCACGCCTTCGTGAACGTCCTCACGCGGGGCGACCTCTCCTCCATCCGCTGGGTCTGCTCCCCTCTGCGTCACACCCAGCTCACCGGCCCCGGCGCCCAGCTCTGTGCCGTCCACTATGCCTCCCTCAACTTCAGAGATATCATGCTGGCCACGGGCAAGCTGTCCCCTGACGCCATCCCAGGTACGGGCCGGGTACCACGGGCACAGCCAGGCTCAAATCTCCAGGTCAGGTCAGGACCTGGGAGGAAGAGGGCTCCTTGCCCCGCCAGCGCTCAGGGACCTGAAGGCCTCTCGGGCCTGAGCTCGTACCCTGGGCTCCCCTAGGGAGACGCACGGCTCACCCCCCACCGTCTGTCCCCAGGAAAGTGGGCCCTCCGCAGCTGTCTGCTGGGCATGGAGTTCTCTGGCCGAGACGCCAGCGGCAAGCGCGTCATGGGGCTGGTGCCTGCCGAAGGCCTGGCTACCTCCGTCCTGCTCTCTCAGGACTTCCTGTGGGAGGTGCCCTCCAGCTGGTGAGTCTGTGGGGCTGTGAGTCCAGGGCCCCACGGCCACGGCTGAGGCTGTCCTGAGCTGACCCCTTGCGCCGTGCCCGCAGGACCCTAGAGGAGGCGGCTTCGGTGCCTGTGGTCTACACAACTGCCTACTACTCGCTGGTGGTGCGGGGGCGCGTGCAGCCCGGGGAGACGGTGCTCATCCACTCAGGCTCGGGCGGCGTGGGCCAGGCCGCCATCGCCATCGCCCTCAGCCTGGGCTGCCGCGTCTTCACTACCGTGGGTAGGTCTGCCGGCCCTCCCGGGAGCCTGGGGCTGCCCTCCCCCCCCCCCCACCTCCTGCCCCAGCCCTGCAGCCTGGCTCACCGGGACACGCCTCTGCCCGCCAGGGTCGGCCGAGAAGCGGGCGTACCTCCAGGCCAGGTTCCCCCAGCTCGACGACACCAGCTTCGCCAACTCCCGGGACACGTCCTTTGAACAGCACGTGCTGCGGCACACGGCAGGGAAGGGTGAGTGGCTCGAGGGCCTCCGGGGGCGTCCTCGGCACGTCCCTCTGTGTTCTCTGCCCACACCCCTGCCTTCTCCTCTCCCCTTCCTCGCCGGCCCAGGCAGCCACAGGGCTTGGCCCTGCGGACCTGGGCCAGGTGTGATAGTGAGGATCCCTCTTCCCCCCACCCCCAAGGTGTGGACCTGGTCCTGAATTCCCTGGCGGAAGAAAAGCTACAGGCCAGCGTGCGGTGCCTGGCCCAGCACGGCCGGTTCCTGGAAATCGGCAAATTCGACCTTTCGAACAACCACCTGCTGGGTGAGGCGGGCAGTGGGCAGGGCGGGCGGGCTGGCGGGCAGGTGGCAAGAGGCCAGCGGCGGAGAGGGGGCGCCGGGTCCACGGGGTAGGCTGTGGGCCCTGAGCCCTCCCGTCTATCCGCCCAGGCATGGCCGTCTTCCTGAAGAACGTGACCTTCCACGGGGTCCTGCTGGACTCGCTCATGGACGAAGGCGGGAACAGCTGGCAGGAGGTGGCTGCGCTGCTGAAGGCGGGCATCCGGGACGGTGTGGTGCAGCCCCTCAAGTGCACCGTGTTCCCCAAGGACCGGGTGGAGGACGCCTTCCGCTACATGGCCCAAGGGAAGCACATCGGCAAAGTGGTCATCCAGGTGAGGAGGGGGCCCGGCTCCCCCGGCTCCCCCCGTCCCCTGCTCCAGCCCCAGGGGCAGCGCTCGAGCACAGCTGCTGCTCCGACTGCAGGTGCGCAGGGAGGAGCCGGAGGCGGTGCTGCGGGAGACGGGTCCCACCCTGATGGCCGCCGTGTCCAGGACCTACTGCCCGGCCCACAAGAGCTATGTCATCACCGGGGGCCTGGGCGGCTTCGGCCTGGAGCTGGCCCAGTGGCTTGTGCTGCGAGGGGCCCGGAAACTCGTGCTGACCTCTCGCTCTGGGATCCGCACAGGTGAGCAGGCCTGGGGCTGCAGGGGGCACCCGGTCAGCTCAGCCCTGGTGTGCTCTCCGGGTTAGGACCCCCGGTTGGCCTGACCCCACTGCCCCGTGTCCTACAGGCTACCAGGCCAAGCAGGTCCGTGAGTGGAGGCGCCAGGGCATACAGGTCCTGGTGTCCACCAGCAACGCCAGCTCGTTGGATGGGGCCCAGAGCCTCATCGATGAGGCCACGCAGCTGGGGCCCGTGGGAGGCGTCTTTAACCTGGCCGTGGTGAGTGTGATTCTGAAGGGGCCGGAGCCGGCCACCCAGGGAAGGTTCTCCCAGGCCGAGCCTCCAAAGCCGTGAGGTCGGGGCAGGTGCTGAGGGTCCCTCGTCCCCAGGTCCTGAGAGACGCCATGCTGGAGAACCAAACCCCTGAGCTCTTTCAGGACGTCAACAGGCCCAAGTACAGCGGCACCGTGAACCTGGACAGGTGAGGCGGACGAGCCCCCCTCCCGTCCCCATCCCCCGACACGGCCTTCCCACGGCCGCCCGGGGACCAGGCCACAGGCCTCCGTGGGGGTTTAGGGAAGCGGAAGCAGACGGGCAGGTGGGGACCCTTGGGCGCGTCAGCAGGTGGGCTGGGCCAGCCAGCAGGGTGTGACTCAAGCGCCCACAGGGTGACCCGAGCTGCGTGCCCCGAGCTGGACTACTTTGTGGCCTTCTCCTCCGTGAGCTGCGGGCGCGGCAACGCCGGCCAAACCAACTATGGCTTCGCCAACTCCACCATGGAGCGCGTGTGTGAGAAGCGCCAGCACGACGGCCTCCCGGGTGAGCCCGTCCACTCCTCGCCCGGCAGCCCCCGCCTGCCGCTGCCCCCCCCTCGGGCCCACGCTCACTCCGGCCCCCCTGGCCCTGTCCCGTAGGCCTCGCCATTCAGTGGGGCGCCATCGGTGACGTGGGCATCGTCCTGGAGTCCATGGGCTCCAACGATACGGTCATCGGCGGGACGCTGCCGCAGCGGATTGCTTCCTGCTTGGAGGTGCTGGACCTCTTCCTGAACCAGCCCCACCCCGTCCTGAGCAGCTTTGTGCTGGCCGAGAAGAAGGCCACTGCCCACAATGACAGCAGTGGCCGGCAGGACCCGATGGAGGCCGTGGCCCACATCCTGGGTGAGGGAGACGCCTTTGCACACTGGCAGACGCTCTGCTCCCCCGAGCCTCAGTGTCCCCGGCTTTAAGAGAGGCCCTGCTTTTTCGCCGAGGGAGGGACGGGCACCAGGGGTCCGCATAGAGCCGGGTGGGGTTTGCATGCCAACCGCAGTGACGCGGCCCTCCCTCCGGAGACCTGGCCCCTGAGGCGTCCGGCCCCGCTCCCCATCCCGAATTGCCAACCGAGCGCCTGTCCCCAGGCATCCGAGACTTGGCCACCGTCAACCTGGACAGCTCGCTGGCAGACCTGGGCCTGGACTCGCTCATGGGCGTGGAGGTGCGCCAGATGTTGGAGCGCGAGCATGACCTGGTGATGTCCATGCGGGACATCCGGCAGCTCACGCTCCGGAAGTTGCAGGAGCTTTCCTCGAAGGCTGGCACAGCTAATGGTGCGTGACCGCAGGGAGAGCAGCTGGAGGAAGGGGAAGGCCCCTGGGCCACCGTGGCCCGTGCTCCTCTTACGGGGTCTGGGGTGCACGTGCCTTGAGTGGCACCAGGGCCCTTCTGTGCCATCGGCCCATGGGCAGGTCAGATTTGTCCATCTGGACCCTTCCTGAGAGCCCTCAGTGGGGCCCAGTGCCGCCCACCCCCAACCCCAGTCCCGTAGCCTGGGTCAGCGGTGGGGGGGGGAGGGGGGAGGTATTCACGTGCCGGGATATC